CTTTCTGCATGTAACGTAATTTGAACAAAAGAAGCAAGGCGGATTTTACAGTAGGCAATATATATTTTTTGTTACCAATATTTCGCAAGGCATGGCCTTCCTTCTTCAGGGTCTTGAATAGAATGTCGATAACGAAGCAGTACCCTAACATTTGCCTTGTAAGGAAGAAAACAAAATATTGTTCTTTAATGACAACACTGTCGTCTTTGCGTAACCAGGAAAGACAAGCACAGGCAAACCCCGCTAATACTGATGCTAACGGGGCCATAGAAAGGATCCGTATCAACAGAGTGTCCATATTAAGCGGGTCATGTTACGTAAAAAATTCAGCTTTTATTTGAACAAAATACTAAAGAGGACATTAGCATCGTAAAATTAAACATCTCTAACCTTCACAAGACTGTCATACCGTGGGCTAGATCCCGGGAAACACTCATCGCTTTTCTATGTCATTACGTAATCAAAACTGCCGTTCTCGTTCGATGTCAAAATATGAGCTTGAAGTCGACACTTCATTCTATCCGATGTGCCCTAGCGCTGGGAGCATTGACAAGCAGTTGTCCTCTGAACGTTGCTGTTTTTTTTTTCGTTTAAAAAGGAAAGGTGTATTGCAGGACACAGTTAAGAATAAAGCGTCCTCATAAGCAAGGTTGACTTTGTAAGAGAATCACTTGATTGGGTAAGCAACAAGTGAAGTGTCCTTTGTCTGCATTAACGGGGAGTCCGTATTAAGCGGGCTGAATTTAGAGAAAATGTAAGGGCTTTTCTCAGGGGTAAAGAAAACTGTCCGTATGAAGCGGGTGTCTGTAAAGCCGGGTCCGACTATAGCTTGTGACAGGCACGATTTGGAGTGAAATTGGGAACTAAAAGCTTGCATGATTTCTGTTTTCGCGTCTTTACTGAAGAAGGACGCATTCCTGGGTGTTCCGATCCATGCCATGGACACAAGTCAATCCTTCGTCATTTAATAATTACTTGAAAACCCTGAGTAATGGTCCGACTGAAAGAACGAACACTGCCTGAAGCCTACTTCAATACTGGGCCAAATGGCAAAAATTCTTATCTTATAGATACACTGCGGGTTGAAACAAGGTCAATGAACATAGAAGCTACTGATTTCAATATCCTTAATTTCCAAGTGTTGTAGATAGAATTCTGATCAATCCATCTATAATATTGTCGGAATCCGGCTCAAAATGCACGTTGTCAGGATTTCTTTCACCAGGGTAAATGGCCTGAGAAATGAAACATTCCCCTCAATTAGAGATTTCCTGATGCGTTTATCATACTTTGAGAAGAGCGCTCTTTAACATCTGTAAGTTAATTCACTTTGGGCCTGTAATCAGTTTCTATAAATTCGAATGAATTACCGGTAAGTCTGTGATAAGAGATACTCTGTCATATCAAAATACCATGCTGTCTACTTGTGATTTTTTAAATTCATTTCTTAAAAAAAATCAGCAAACAACAAAAATCAACAATAACATGCAAATTAGGTCATTTTATGACCTGTTCAAAGAAATCAGTGCGCATGTTATTTCGTTTTTTTTCCCAAGGCCATGTCGCTTGTCGGAATTTGATTTTATCCAGACAGGGCTTCATTTTTTGTCCACGCCGTCCAAAAAAAATTACCTACAAAAAAAGGCATTACCTATATAACCAGGCTCCATACTGCTCTTCATTTATTTCCTGTTATGATAACCTTTCCCCTTAATGATCTGTGATATTACAAAGAATAATGAAAACGCTGTCACTGCAGGGGTTTTGGGGGTTATTAAAAACTGTCTTTACTTTATATAATTCATACAACATCTCGACTAGCACACAACCCCGGCGTCAAATAGTGTCATTTTTTCCCTTGACTCTTTAAGTCCTAATACCCACATACAAATTCATTAGACTGATATTCATACATTTCCTTAGAGATAAGTTAGAAGAGTTTAATTAAAAATCAAAGCATTTTCTCTTTGGTGATCATCTGATTAATTCCCATAACCATTTTTCTTGACAACATATGGATATTGCTAGGAGAAATTTGATGTTGTTCACTATTGGGAGCTAAAGGGTTAAAGATTCTAGTCATAGAAATGCAAGTTTGTGCGCGCATGACATGCCGTACGCCAAAATGGAAAGGATTTGCGACACTTCGGGTTGTCAGCATTCTCAATTAATTCATCCTTTCTAAGATTTTAAAAAGGTACCTTTGTTTGTCTGTTGCTATGGCAGCCAGCAAAAAAACTCCATGATATTGTCAAAAGCGCCAAAAAAGGACGCCCAATTATATTTACTTCAGTGTTAATGTCTAAAGTGCAGGTAAAATTCATCCTTGGTTCAATATGTGCCCTTCGATTGAATTCGTTCTTGCAATTTTGCATCAATAAAAGTTAACGTTCTTTCTGGTTGTGCATTAGGTTTTGCTTGGTTTAATTATTTAAAATACGCTGTAAAGCTTCTCTGAAAATGAAACCAAAAATCCTTTCATGCTTTTTACTTTGTTTCGTTTTAATCTATTTATTTATTTATTTTGTTTTGTATTTTGTAAAGCAAGCAGTAAATGTTTCGTTTTCTTTAATTTAACGCAATCGCGTGTTCTTAGGCTGTTGCAACAAGACCGTGTTTATACCCAAACGTTTGGATATAGACACTTTTGGATATTAAAGGTAATATAAAACGCGTGGCGCCACTTACTTATAAAAATTATCTGTTGCAAAAGACTCTTAAAAACACCATGATAGGGTGTGTTTCAAAATATGAAGAAGTGAGTTCTTCATACTATAAACCATGCATATGTACAGAAAACAGCAAATGAAAAAATTTGCAATAACTAAATAAAATACACAGCAACAAAACAGTAAAAGCCGGAACTGTAAATAGCAATTACACTTGACCAGTATTTAGAAGACAAGAGGGAGAGTTTTAGTTAAGTGATCGATACGAGTCCGAGAGTTCGAATTAACCCTCCACTGAACGTGCATGTATTCCCAAATCTCCTAGTTCAAGCTCAGTTGTACTACGAGGACTTGAAAGTCTATTTTAAATCCCGATTTCTTAGATTTAATTTGCTTTAGGAAGCTGTAACAACTATTTCCTGGCACTAATCTATTAACTAAATGTGTCCTATAACAAATTTCAAATTCCGTGATAGTTTTTTTATCGGCTTATTCATCGATGTATGTTGAATCAACACTGACTTTTAACTGCAAGTACGAAAACGAGAACGTTCTCATTATCAATGCTTAAGCCCTCTATCCAATAACCGATACCAGATTTTGGATTTTGGTTAAAATTACCTACTCGGTATTGCTTGAGCACAATCTGAGACACGTACAACATTCACAAACTTATACTAATTTGTTACTTTTACTAATTCTTATAATGTTATTGCCGGTAATTTGAATCATTCGAAGTGACCGTTAATTGGATTAGAACCGCACTCGTCTTGTGCCATTTTAAAGAAGGATTTTCGCAAACGGTGTCCTATCACTAAACAAAGTAATATCTGCTTAACAATACCCCTTTTCCGCTGGAAAAAAAAAGTAATATTTAGATTTTGTCGTAGAGTGATTGGGAAAATAGTCAGAAAATTCTGTGGTGCTACTTAATTGTCAACAATACTTTTCTTAATTATTGTGACATACTTCAAGCTTGTTATTACTATTTTCTTCCCGTAATAAGTGCGATTTCGCGATTCCTAGAGGAGACAAACGTTAGCCAATATGTAACTCAGTCAAATACTAAATATGCGAGAGGCTAGAGAAAGAAAAAAAATAACAATAAAAAGCTTTTGTATGGATAAAAGAAGAAAAAAAAGTTGCTGTTTAAAGTCCTAACTAAGCCAGGAAACCCACATAATCAAGTAACATCTTTGTGTCTTCTTTCTTAGCTTTACACTAGAGAGTTTGACATGGATGTTCTCTTATTATTAATCACCAATTGAGAAATTTATATTTGTTCTTTTGTAGTCGAGTGCCTGTAATCATATACACAGGTTAAAAAGCCCAATTTTCAACCTAAACTATTTCCTGTAGGCTGGCTAAGTAAAAAGGAATTTTTTTTCTTTAAACGTCTGTTCCCTGAAATTTATGTAAAAGAAATTAAAGAAAAGTGACCTTTTTGTCCTCTTTAATTTCAAACTATTTAATCCGGTTTAGTATTTATGTCTTCAGTATGTTTGAAGGAGGCACTTAAAATGATGATAGGTTGAAAAGTCATTATACATATTGTAAAGCAGTTTGATAAATAATTCTACACCTTGAAATTGGAACGCCTTTGGCACTGAGGGGCCAAAACTCTCTACCACGCCAGCTGAAAAGAGCATCATCAGAGGGAACCGAACATGTCGTTGAAGTTCTCAGCTGGTTTATGTCTGGTGTTGTTCGTGGCTTTGTCCAACTGTGCTTCTTTTTCTAGAAAAGTAAAACTTCGGTGGCCAAGGAACGGTATGTAAAGAAAAAAAGACACTTATAAAAAATATAAACTAAAACTAAACAAATTTTGTTCTACAGAAATGTTGATCGTTTAAATGACGTGCCATGCACGCTCTGAAAACAAAAGACAAAACAAAACAAAAACAAAGATATGACCCTGTGACGAAGAGAGATACCATTTTCATGCGTTGTGTTCCACAAGCGTTTTTGCAAAACAAAATGAAAGAAAAGAACAAAAAGAAGAACAAAGGTATTCATTGGTACAAGCTAGGAGGGAGGCTCCTTGATTATGAGAATAATATTATGGACAAAATTGATGCCATTGAATTTGTGAGGCAATGAAATCTGTGTTATCTCTGGTTCAGTACAGCCTTTCTAACTTCTTCTGTTTTAAAGTAGCGAAGTTCAAACAAATTCGGATAGCCTTATGAAAGTCCCGTGAGCCGATATCTGTCAGCACGCCGAGAGTGTAAGCATGTTGCATAAGATCCGCTCATCTTCGCTTTCGTTTATTCAATCATTTTTGCTTTGATTTGATTTTTGTTTTAAACAGCACGGCCAAAAACTGAAATCAGAAATCGCCGCCAAGTTGGCTTCCTCCCTTTGTGCGGTTCAGCTCAGTTTAACACATTCACCCAGTTATGTTGCGATGAAAACTTGTTGCCGAAGATGACACCCACTACCGTTTGCTGTGATCATACCACGTACGACCCACTACATCAGATATGCTGTGATGGAGCAGTGTACCAGAAATCGCAATATATTATTCCAAAGTGCTGTGGACAAGATGCGTATGATGGAAATACCACTGGAACCATCTGCTGTAGTAGTAATATCCACACTGGCCATGGACCCAGTCCAGCTTGTTGCGGATCAGATAACGCCTATAACACTCTCACTGAGATATGCTGCGATCAAAGCAACGTGTTGCCTGCGGTAGGTACACGAGTCCAGCTTGTTGCGGAACACAATCATACGATGCCACAAGCTTCTTATGTTGTAACAACATGATGATTGTGCCTAAATCAGGGCCAAATTCAGCCTGTTGTGGCAACTTTGTCTACGATACCAGTACACAGATTTGCTGTGGTGGAATGATTTTCATGAAGCCAGGCAATGCGTCGGCGTGCTGTGGAAATATGGCCTACGACCGGGTGACGCAGATGTGTTGTCAAGGAGTGCCATCTATGAAGCCCGGTGCAAATCCTGCTTGCTGTGGGATATTCGCTTACGATCTGACAAGCTCCATGTGTTGCAGTGGCCATGTAGCTCCGAGATCACCCTCAGTAACCATGTGCTGTGGAATGTTTTCACAGCCCTGTCACTCACTTGTGCTGCAATGGTGTTGTGGGTATAAGAGTAGGTCTAATGCCATCTTGCTGTTCAACGTTTGTGTATAATGCAGCTACGCATCTTTGTTGCGATGGCAACGTTGTAATTCCCATGAACCCCAATGGGTGTGGAAGTCATGCGTGAACTGAACTTGATCGACAAACAAGCGACACCGTTAGACCGGGAAAACAAGGAAACAATCAAGAAACTAAGCAGATGTTCATACTATAGCTAGAAAAACTGTATCGCAGAACCTCGCGAGGTTCGGGAGCCATAAGGGGTGGGAGGACAGGAGAGAAATGAAGTAAATCACGTAACTGGCGAGGGCGGGTCTAATATTCGAAGCTGAGATTTACTTAATGCGAGAGCTTTTTTTCACAATTAACTCTAGTCTAAGATTTCCCTTGAAAACTTTTCTGAGAGGAAACATGAATTAGCTAACAGCTCCCTATAGTTTGGACTCGCAAGACTGACTTAAACATGTAGAGCGCGTTTGACATAAAGAAGACTAACGAGAGATTATTATCTAACCTCAACTCGATGTTGCCACCGTATTTCCAATTAAAAAAATAGAAAAATAAATTATACCGATAAGCCTGCATTTCCCGCTCAATCGAGTACAGTTTAGAATGCGCATGCTCATCGGCATCCGGGTTAACACGATTTTACAGCGTCAGGGTTGTAGGGACTGTATATATAAAGACAAGGAGCCCATAAGCTGGAGCGAGCAACTTCCACGCGCTCGTGTCACGGACCAGTTTATTTTTAGAACAGTTTTGGCGCGAATTTTGAATATCTTTTGAATTCCACAAACCAGTCAGCAAAACCTACAGACCTAAAAATGATAGTTTTTGCCTTTTAATAACGTTTAGTTTTCCTTTTTGATATCATATAGTTCGAATGCGCTCATAGACAAGGTGGAAATTCTATTTTCTATTTTCTATTTTCGCTAGAAAAAGTGCCCTAAAATGTGTCTAAAAATAAACTGGTCCGTAAAACGCCGTGACGTAGGTCTAGTATGGGAGTTGCTCGCTTCACTTTATGGGCTCCTGTAAAGACGTAATTGAACTTCCTTTAATAACTTATTTAGTCGAGTTATATTCGAACCCCCAGTGATAAGAAGGCTACAACTGTAGGCAAGCTCCTGAGTCAAATTGAGGCACACTTCACTTTAAACTAATGCGTAAACCAACAAGTAGGATCCACGAGGTAACATGTAATTTAGGCTTCGTGAAACCAGCTTATTTAGGGGACCCAAAGCTATCATGTGTTGCATAAATTGAACATGATACTTGAACCGATAACTTATTAAACTTCGTGGAAGCTTAATAAAGCATTTTGACTTATTTCTGCGTTTGTTTAGTATAACTTGTCTTGTGTTGTTGCCAATAAACTTCTGGATATAGAGCTAGCGCCAAAGTCATTTTTGGATGTTATCAATTCCGGTGTTCCAGCAATTCCTCTTTAACCAAAGTCGTTTGCTTGGATCAAGTTCCCCCGAGCTACCCTGGTTGAGCCAACTTTTCATACATTCCCTTACAAAATGTGGCGAACCTTACCTGACTGAGAACAAAAAGCTGGTCCGGCTAGAAGGGTGACTCTCCAGCCTGGTCATCCATTTGTGATGTAGGGTCACCCTCCTTACCGGGCCAACTTATTCTGCATATAAACACTTTGGGGCAGTTATTAAAACGAAGTCTAACTTAGACTTCGGTTTAGAAATCATTTCACCTCCAGATCTCTTTCGTTTTAAGAAGACAAATGCTTTTCTAGTGTACGCCATGTGCCGTAATGAAACTGTTCACGATAAATCGTGTTTACATAAAAGCGTTGTTCAAACTGAAAATGGCTTAGAACGTGGTTGTGTTAAACACTAGCTAAACTGATCCGTTTAAATACCTGGGGCCCGTATCTCCAAAGTCCCGATAATTAACGGGCCCGTAAAGCTGTCGTTGTTTACACGCAAGATAGAGGTTTCAATAGTTTTGCATCTAACATGATAAAAACTATTAGTTAATGAAACAAAATGGAGCAGTTAACTAGCCAAGACCCGCGCTCTTATTCTTTATAATTCGATTTGAAAATTTGATTTCGGGCCCGAAATGTTACCGGGACTTTCGAGAAACGGGCTCCTGGCCCTTTGGCTCGGCCAGCTAGGTCAACTCGGTCAAGGTGGAGATAATCAGAGCGTGCGCAAGCGCCGCTGACTTTGGCAAAGGGGTAAGATTTTTTATCGTCGAAAGAGCCCGTCTAAGATGACTTTGAGAGTGACCTTTAGCCGGGACGATAGAGAGATTGTGAGCCACGTTAACGGCAAGCGACAAACATGAATTTGTTCCACGTGACCAA